ACTGCATGATTTTTTTTCTGTTTTGGCACACAAAAGATATTTTGAAGAAAAATGACTTGTATTTTATGGAAGAAAAAAACCGAGATATCTTTTCAAAATATCTTCTTTTGTGTTCCAAAGAAGAAAGAAATTGTTGCCAAATCTTCTATGTGACTGTGGGCTACATCTCTATCCTCTACCCCTAAAACCACCTTCCTCATTCTCTTTCCGTTTTGCCCATCACTCCATCTCTCTGCACGCTGCAGTTTCTGAATGGCACACGCTAATAAATGCCGCTGTTCTGCTCGGTTTAAGTCTCCAGTCTGATGGATTCATTATCGACAGAATTATGTGCAATTCATCAGCCAAATATTATTCTCTTCCTGACAGTTTGCTAAACAAAAGCTGTCCATGTGTGTTATTAGACAGTTGAATTAATATATGGCCAAATATTAAAGATTAAGTGGACATTTGAATGAAATGGTGCTTGGTCAATATTAAACAAGGATTAGATCGCACAGTAATGTGTAAAAACAATCGTCAGGCCATTGGCGACCTCTGCAGGCCTTTGTTGTAGTGGATACTGTACATTAGCTCTATTGTTTATAATACATTATGTATTTCAACAGTTTTGTTCAATAAAACCATATGATTTCTTATTATACTAATTATTATTGCCTCATTGCTATTATATATGTATTTTAAATCATTTTAAAGGCTATTGTTTTATTGTTTTTTTTATTTCCAAATTCAGTTTTTTTCCATTTTCATTTTTCTACGTTTTAATGGTTAAATTAACTTGTATTAATCAAAAAGCCTGTCTAATTAAGTGAGTTTTACAGTTTTATCTTTACCAAATACTGTTTTCCATTATTTTCCGGATTCCATGTTAATGGTTCCATTAAATTTTAATAATTAAAAGCATCTCCAATTAATTGATTTTATTAAAAAAAAAAAAAAGTTTCTTTTTTCTTTTTTTGCAGAAATACTGCGCATTTACATTTTTCTCCTAAATAAATTCTGGTAAATAACATTTCTGGCAAATACTCCTTTAAAAAGTGTTTTTTGATAATTTTATTATTAGTAGACTATAATCCGTGGATATGTTGTCATTCTTACACTATAATACTGAACTTTGATTTCAGTGATTTGGACTATGAGATGGACACTTGCTTCTTGTGATGTTCTTGCACTCTATGTTGCACTTTCCTTTTGCTTTAAAAAAAGGATCTCATAGAAATTTGGATTGCATTTGGTTTAATAAAATATAGTTTAATAAAATATTCTTAAGTAAAATTGATGATTTTTGTGGGAAATTAATAGTTTAGATTAATCGATAAATTAGTCGATAGATTAATCTAAATAAAAATAGTCATTAGTGGCAGCCCTACTGAATTCACAAGAAGAGTTAGTATATTTTTTTGTATGCCAATACTTGTACAGGGTGCAAGTGCTTATCATGAAATCTAACAGAACAGCATAAACATATTACAGGCCCATTAACAAGAAAGCACAGCAGGGAATGAAGATAAACATAAATGGAGATGAGCACTTCATTAACGGCCTTAAAATTTAAACTACAGCCCATTATGTCACCATAATGTTTAGAAATACTACAGACCACAGGACATCTGCACACAGAACACTGTTAATCCAATCTGTCCCCCTTAAGGGAACAAGAGAAAGAGGTTAGACACAAATTAAAAGGGGGACACTATCTAAAAAAAGTGATGTGACATGTGGCGACCCATACTCGGAATTAGTGCTCTGCATTTAACCCATCCAAAGCCATTTATGCTGCGGCGCCCAGGGAGCAGTTGGGGGTTTGGTGCCTTGCTCAAGGGCACCTCAGTCATGGTATTGAAGGTGGGAGAGAGCGCTGTACATTCACTCCCCCCACCTACAATCCCTGCCGGTACGAGACTCGAACCCGCAACCTTTGGGTTACGAGTCTGACTCTCTTACCATTAGGCCACAACTCCACTTCAGTTCACACTGAAATGCTTTCAGATATGAAAATTGAAACTACTACACAAACCATTAAAAAAAGCTTTAAAGGTTAAATTTTTCTTCGTTAATTCAAATAAAGCTCAAATACCGAACATCATACTCACAATGGTAGAATCCTATTTCCAGCACTGAACAAAGACTATGCTACTTCATAATTCATCTTTTGACTTACTGCTAAAAGCAGTTTGGTCATAATTATAAAGCGATTGACTTCAAAGGTTCATTTTCTTTCCTCACATATGTGATGTTTCTTAAGAGCACTTGAGCAGTTCATTCTCTATGAAAATGAGGGACTAAACATGTTCCCTTTGCTTGTTTACCTAGCAAACTTTCAGATATTAAATCTCAGAAAAAAAAATTGATAATATGAATGTCGTAGAAAGCGGTAAAGACACTAAGAAATGTCTTAAACAAATGGATAAATGATTTATGGGAAGATCATAAAGACTGTGTCACAAGTCTCCTCACTCCACACCACTGTTCTCGACACAAATGCAGTGAGGTAGTGAGGCCATATGGGAAAACTAACTGAGAACAACCTTGTTAAGATCTGTGTAAATGCCTGACAACACCCAGATCCCCCATCACTTCTCACATTCAGGAGAAAGTCATCACATGGCCTTGTTGGCTTGAAGGTCTATCGACTGTTCTCTAGGGAGCAGTCAGTGAACAAGTGTGGCCTTAGGTACCGACATTAGCTTTGACGCTGCACATGAGTGCTGTTTTAAATACAGATGGCACTGTACAGGTTTTGGAGGTCTGATGCTGGACACAGATCTAACTTCTCAATGGCTACCAGAGGAAACTAAAAAAAACGTCTGTTTCCTATTATTTGCATAAGAAATTTAGCATGTAAAGGTCAACATTAACAACCCCTGTTTCCAAAACAGTATATTAATCCAGAGTATCAAACAGTAATGGGTCGAGCTCTTAATCCATTGATCATCCATCTGCTCCTAGCTCATGCTCACAGTGGGCAGTCGTGGCCTAATGAAAGAATTGTCGTTGGAGGGAGCACTCTCCAGCGCTCTCTCCATCCTCAATATCATGACTGAGGTGAGAGCCTTGAACTGAACCCCCAACTGCTCCCTGGGCACCACAGCAATATGGCTGCCCACTGCTCCGGGTGTGTTTTCGCTACTGTGTATGTGCACTTGGATGGGTGAAATACAGAGCACAAATTCTGAGTATGGGTCACCATACTTGGCCACACATCACTTCACTTCAAACCAGCACACACATTTATTATAGTCTTTATAAGTCAGTTTAAAAGCCCAAGTTCACCAGTTTTCAACCGGCAATGTTACAATGTTGGTAGTATAAGTAAATGAACAATGCAAGTTATTTTTCTGTTACCTGTGCCAAGTCTCTATTTGTAAAACATGTCATCCAGTGGATTTTTTTCATCTCCAGGGCTCTCGGGAAAATGGATAGTCTGATCAAGCCCAGTGCATTTTTTCCCGTTAGTTGTGGAGCACAGATTTAAAAATCTAAAAGTAAGTAAGTGATGTAAAAGTAACTTATTTTAGACACCACAAATGGGTAGGGGAATTATTCCCTAAATTATACAAGTGCCAAGATATCTCCAAAAACATCACGTCAACATATTCTGCAATCAATGCTAGTTAATCTACCATTTTTAAACCGTATTTTGCTATATCCTTTATAATTGTTATGGATGAAGCTTTATGACCTCATATTAATTATGAGACTATAGAGTGCTGTAGCCGTGATGTCAAAACCCAGAAGACTAATTTGGAATCCCTTGAGATCTTGCAATGGGTTTAACTTTTTATAACGGAATTTTTCAATTAATGAGTGGAATAAGGTCTGTGGTAAACAAAACTTGAGGATACTTGGCCATTCGGATTTAAAAATAAACATAACTGCTTCAAAATTCACATTTTCAGTATGGGTGAATGTCATTTATTTTAGAGAGAAAAACGTTGAAATATCATCAACTTATATTTAGGCTACCACAGACCTTGTTTTACTCAAAGTGAAAAACACCATTAAAAAACCAATAGAGAAATCTCAAGGGAACCCATGGCTTTTCGGCTTTTGACATCACAGCTGCAGCACTTTATACTGAATATTTTGAAAAAAAATCATACAAAAAAAGCTTAGAAGAAATTGTGATCTACTGACCTAAACCACAATTTAAAAATAAATAAATCATCATGACAGCTCAATCTGCAAGATGCTCATTCTACAAAACACACTAAGAGCGGGTTTATGCTTGCAAGATGATCAAATAAAAACGGTGTACTCCTGACTGTAATCTGAAAAAGAATAATTAAAACACAAGTGATCCAAAACACTGAGCCTAATGTTGATTCTTCAAACAACTGCTTGAGTAAATCAAAGCCTGTCACTATCTTCTCTATCACACTCACTGCTTGATGAACGCCTCAACGTTAAAGCAACTTCCTGGCCATCAATACACTTAAAAAGATCACTTTATGCTGATCTTTGATAATGACTTTAGCCGTGCATAGTACGAGAAAGCTTTTGAAGCAAAGATCAATGCACTCTGCACATTGAAGCCATATGCATTTAAGCAATGTCTATGAAATTATCTGCATACAATATCGTTCAGTTATATAAAGTATGGGAGTGCCAAAACCTATCACCTTGAAAGCACATTACATTTAAAACTCAATGCAATGAATGAAAAGAACAAAACTGTCTACAAGCATCCAATAACAGGCAGTATATGCTGCAAATAGTCCATCAAAGAATATTCTGTAGCACAAGAATTTTAAGAAAACCAGACTTTTCTGCTGAACTCATTTCACATGTGAAATCTCATGTGAAATCCCTCCCCCCCCATCACTTCGTATGCACATCAACTGTCTAAATGAAGAAATCAGAGAAATAGCTCAAGGCGTTTAGTCAAATCACAGGCCTTGTGGTCATTTAAATGTCATAAAACTTAGTCCAGTTAACAGCCCACAATCACTCCCAGCGTTTCACGAAATAGCGCGTGAATGAAATCGCCGCAAACTTACGTGAAAACGAAGAATAAAGTAGTGGATCCCACCAGAAGAGTGGCGGTAGTGGACACCGGGATGTATTTGGTGGGTTTAAATCTTTTTCCAACGCTGTTGGGCATTCTGTAAATCCCACATTCCTCGTTTATTTGATCCCTGTCGTTAGCCGCACGCAAACACGAACACAAATCCTGCACCGTTCAGCGCGTAACGTTACCGGCTAAACGTTCATTCGCTCCGTCACATACACCGTTAAATCGTGATCCTTGAATACGAGGCACAAAATCCCACCCAGCTCTATTCAGCCCACTGCTGAGGTCACTGCAATGCTTGAAAGGTGGAGCCAGCCTCCACTACGCAAATAGAGGCGGCGACACACGCGCGCTCCATCAGCGGGGCCTTGACTTGACGCGTCTTGAGGTTTGCAAGCGTCGCAAAGAGACTTGGGCTTTTTACTATGGAGCAATCACACTCGGGGTGGTGTTGAGACACAGACACAGACACACACACACACCTCTTCTTACTAAAAGGGAAATCATGAATTAAACCTACGAAACCTACCTTGTTTAAAATCATATTAGTCGAATATTAAAACAGATGAGATTTGAAAGATTAAGTTTGGAGGACACTGCCCACTGAACAACCAAAGTTTCAGTGGGTTTGTGATGTGATGTGGGCATCATGTGACCTCTAGCGGCAGATTTGGAGAATTATCCAGTTTACCCCTGTTGAAAAAACCAGCATATGCTGGTTATGTTTTGATGCTGGTTTATGCTGGTCCTTTGCTGGTTTACGCTGGGCCTTTGCTGGTTTACGCTGGGCCTTTGCTGGTTTACGCTGGGCCTTTGCTGGTTTACGCTGGGCCTTTGCTGGTTTACGCTGGGCCTTTGCTGGTTTACGCTGGGCCTTTGCTGGTTTACGCTGGGCCTTTGCTGGTTTACGCTGGGCCTTTGCTGGTTTACGCTGGGCCTTTGCTGGTTTACGCTGGGCCTTTGCTGGTTTACGCTGGGCCTTTGCTGGTTTACGCTGGGCCTTTGCTGGTTTACGCTGGGCCTTTGCTGGTTTACGCTGGGCCTTTGCTGGTTTACGCTGGGCCTTTGCTGGTTTACGCTGGGCCTTTGCTGGTTTACGCTGGGCCTTTGCTGGTTTACGCTGGGCCTTTGCTGGTTTACGCTGGGCCTTTGCTGGTTTACGCTGGGCCTTTGCTGGTTTACGCTGGGCCTTTGCTGGTTTACGCTGGGCCTTTGCTGGTTTACGCTGGGCCTTTGCTGGTTTACGCTGGGCCTTTGCTGGTTTACGCTGGGCCTTTGCTGGTTTACGCTGGGCCTTTGCTGGTTTACGCTGGGCCTTTGCTGGTTTACGCTGGGCCTTTGCTGGTTTACGCTGGGCCTTTGCTGGTTTACGCTGGGCCTTTGCTGGTTTACGCTGGGCCTTTGCTGGTTTACGCTGGGCCTTTGCTGGTTTACGCTGGGCCTTTGCTGGTTTACGCTGGGCCTTTGCTGGTTTACGCTGGGCCTTTGCTGGTTTACGCTGGGCCTTTGCTGGTTTACGCTGGGCCTTTGCTGGTTTACGCTGGGCCTTTGCTGGTTTACGCTGGGCCTTTGCTGGTTTACGCTGGGCCTTTGCTGGTTTACGCTGGGCCTTTGCTGGTTTACGCTGGGCCTTTGCTGGTTTACGCTGGGCCTTTGCTGGTTTACGCTGGGCCTTTGCTGGTTTACGCTGGGCCTTTGCTGGTTTACGCTGGGCCTTTGCTGGTTTACGCTGGGCCTTTGCTGGTTTACGCTGGGCCTTTGCTGGTTTACGCTGGGCCTTTGCTGGTTTACGCTGGGCCTTTGCTGGTTTACGCTGGGCCTTTGCTGGTTTACGCTGGGCCTTTGCTGGTTTACGCTGGGCCTTTGCTGGTTTACGCTGGGCCTTTGCTGGTTTACGCTGGGCCTTTGCTGGTTTACGCTGGGCCTTTGCTGGTTTACGCTGGGCCTTTGCTGGTTTACGCTGGGCCTTTGCTGGTTTACGCTGGGCCTTTGCTGGTTTACGCTGGGCCTTTGCTGGTTTACGCTGGGCCTTTGCTGGTTTACGCTGGGCCTTTGCTGGTTTACGCTGGGCCTTTGCTGGTTTACGCTGGGCCTTTGCTGGTTTACGCTGGGCCTTTGCTGGTTTACGCTGGGCCTTTGCTGGTTTACGCTGGGCCTTTGCTGGTTTACGCTGGGCCTTTGCTGGTTTACGCTGGGCCTTTGCTGGTTTACGCTGGGCCTTTGCTGGTTTACGCTGGGCCTTTGCTGGTTTACGCTGGGCCTTTGCTGGTTTACGCTGGGCCTTTGCTGGTTTACGCTGGGCCTTTGCTGGTTTACGCTGGGCCTTTGCTGGTTTACGCTGGGCCTTTGCTGGTTTACGCTGGGCCTTTGCTGGTTTACGCTGGGCCTTTGCTGGTTTACGCTGGGCCTTTGCTGGTTTACGCTGGGCCTTTGCTGGTTTACGCTGGGCCTTTGCTGGTTTACGCTGGGCCTTTGCTGGTTTACGCTGGGCCTTTGCTGGTTTACGCTGGGCCTTTGCTGGTTTACGCTGGGCCTTTGCTGGTTTACGCTGGGCCTTTGCTGGTTTACGCTGGGCCTTTGCTGGTTTACGCTGGGCCTTTGCTGGTTTACGCTGGGCCTTTGCTGGTTTACGCTGGGCCTTTGCTGGTTTACGCTGGGCCTTTGCTGGTTTACGCTGGGCCTTTGCTGGTTTACGCTGGGCCTTTGCTGGTTTACGCTGGGCCTTTGCTGGTTTACGCTGGGCCTTTGCTGGTTTACGCTGGGCCTTTGCTGGTTTACGCTGGGCCTTTGCTGGTTTACGCTGGGCCTTTGCTGGTTTACGCTGGGCCTTTGCTGGTTTACGCTGGGCCTTTGCTGGTTTACGCTGGGCCTTTGCTGGTTTACGCTGGGCCTTTGCTGGTTTACGCTGGGCCTTTGCTGGTTTACGCTGGGCCTTTGCTGGTTTACGCTGGGCCTTTGCTGGTTTACGCTGGGCCTTTGCTGGTTTACGCTGGGCCTTTGCTGGTTTACGCTGGGCCTTTGCTGGTTTACGCTGGGCCTTTGCTGGTTTACGCTGGGCCTTTGCTGGTTTACGCTGGGCCTTTGCTGGTTTACGCTGGGCCTTTGCTGGTTTACGCTGGGCCTTTGCTGGTTTACGCTGGGCCTTTGCTGGTTTACGCTGGGCCTTTGCTGGTTTACGCTGGGCCTTTGCTGGTTTACGCTGGGCCTTTGCTGGTTTACGCTGGGCCTTTGCTGGTTTACGCTGGGCCTTTGCTGGTTTACGCTGGGCCTTTGCTGGTTTACGCTGGGCCTTTGCTGGTTTACGCTGGGCCTTTGCTGGTTTACGCTGGGCCTTTGCTGGTTTACGCTGGGCCTTTGCTGGTTTACGCTGGGCCTTTGCTGGTTTACGCTGGGCCTTTGCTGGTTTACGCTGGGCCTTTGCTGGTTTACGCTGGGCCTTTGCTGGTTTACGCTGGGCCTTTGCTGGTTTACGCTGGGCCTTTGCTGGTTTACGCTGGGCCTTTGCTGGTTTACGCTGGGCCTTTGCTGGTTTACGCTGGGCCTTTGCTGGTTTACGCTGGGCCTTTGCTGGTTTACGCTGGGCCTTTGCTGGTTTACGCTGGGCCTTTGCTGGTTTACGCTGGGCCTTTGCTGGTTTACGCTGGGCCTTTGCTGGTTTACGCTGGGCCTTTGCTGGTTTACGCTGGGCCTTTGCTGGTTTACGCTGGGCCTTTGCTGGTTTACGCTGGGCCTTTGCTGGTTTACGCTGGGCCTTTGCTGGTTTACGCTGGGCCTTTGCTGGTTTACGCTGGGCCTTTGCTGGTTTACGCTGGGCCTTTGCTGGTTTACGCTGGGCCTTTGCTGGTTTACGCTGGGCCTTTGCTGGTTTACGCTGGGCCTTTGCTGGTTTACGCTGGGCCTTTGCTGGTTTACGCTGGGCCTTTGCTGGTTTACGCTGGGCCTTTGCTGGTTTACGCTGGGCCTTTGCTGGTTTACGCTGGGCCTTTGCTGGTTTACGCTGGGCCTTTGCTGGTTTACGCTGGGCCTTTGCTGGTTTACGCTGGGCCTTTGCTGGTTTACGCTGGGCCTTTGCTGGTTTACGCTGGGCCTTTGCTGGTTTACGCTGGGCCTTTGCTGGTTTACGCTGGGCCTTTGCTGGTTTACGCTGGGCCTTTGCTGGTTTACGCTGGGCCTTTGCTGGTTTACGCTGGGCCTTTGCTGGTTTACGCTGGGCCTTTGCTGGTTTACGCTGGGCCTTTGCTGGTTTACGCTGGGCCTTTGCTGGTTTACGCTGGGCCTTTGCTGGTTTACGCTGGGCCTTTGCTGGTTTACGCTGGGCCTTTGCTGGTTTACGCTGGGCCTTTGCTGGTTTACGCTGGGCCTTTGCTGGTTTACGCTGGGCCTTTGCTGGTTTACGCTGGGCCTTTGCTGGTTTACGCTGGGCCTTTGCTGGTTTACGCTGGGCCTTTGCTGGTTTACGCTGGGCCTTTGCTGGTTTACGCTGGGCCTTTGCTGGTTTACGCTGGGCCTTTGCTGGTTTACGCTGGGCCTTTGCTGGTTTACGCTGGGCCTTTGCTGGTTTACGCTGGGCCTTTGCTGGTTTACGCTGGGCCTTTGCTGGTTTACGCTGGGCCTTTGCTGGTTTACGCTGGGCCTTTGCTGGTTTACGCTGGGCCTTTGCTGGTTTACGCTGGGCCTTTGCTGGTTTACGCTGGGCCTTTGCTGGTTTACGCTGGGCCTTTGCTGGTTTACGCTGGGCCTTTGCTGGTTTACGCTGGGCCTTTGCTGGTTTACGCTGGGCCTTTGCTGGTTTACGCTGGGCCTTTGCTGGTTTACGCTGGGCCTTTGCTGGTTTACGCTGGGCCTTTGCTGGTTTACGCTGGGCCTTTGCTGGTTTACGCTGGGCCTTTGCTGGTTTACGCTGGGCCTTTGCTGGTTTACGCTGGGCCTTTGCTGGTTTACGCTGGGCCTTTGCTGGTTTACGCTGGGCCTTTGCTGGTTTACGCTGGGCCTTTGCTGGTTTACGCTGGGCCTTTGCTGGTTTACGCTGGGCCTTTGCTGGTTTACGCTGGGCCTTTGCTGGTTTACGCTGGGCCTTTGCTGGTTTACGCTGGGCCTTTGCTGGTTTACGCTGGGCCTTTGCTGGTTTACGCTGGGCCTTTGCTGGTTTACGCTGGGCCTTTGCTGGTTTACGCTGGGCCTTTGCTGGTTTACGCTGGGCCTTTGCTGGTTTACGCTGGGCCTTTGCTGGTTTACGCTGGGCCTTTGCTGGTTTACGCTGGGCCTTTGCTGGTTTACGCTGGGCCTTTGCTGGTTTACGCTGGGCCTTTGCTGGTTTACGCTGGGCCTTTGCTGGTTTACGCTGGGCCTTTGCTGGTTTACGCTGGGCCTTTGCTGGTTTACGCTGGGCC